GTTACGAGGAGAGAAAGCATTCCAGAGCCTCTGAGTCTCCTTTTCGTTTTCTGGTTCTGAAGGAAACGTTGATGACATTCCCCCAACGGTTGTCACGGTTTGTGATTTGTTTCATTTTGTCCAGTGGCCATTGCCTTGAGAGCGCACTGCTCAGCTGGCCCGCCCCGAATCCCACTCGTGGACGCTGACTCCTCCTGTGCGTGACCAGCCCGGCAGCCGCTTGTACATAATTAAACTATTTTCTGATGACGCTTGTCTTGGCGCCTCGTGACCCCTCTACAGCTGTGCCGCATCTGGCCGGTCTCAGCTCTGACCCCAGAGATGGAGTGCGGGAACCTCGCCCGGTGGGCCTCGCCCTGGGCACGGCACGGGGCCCAGACAGAAGGCCGTGGCGCGGCTGCGTCAGCCCTGCCGTGTGACCCCACCCCCATCCGCCATGTCCTGCTGGCTCCCTTCTCGCAGTGGGACGGGCATGGGGCCTTTGGATGCTGTCGCTTAGGGAATTGAGAACCATCGCTCTCTTTTCACGAAAAGCTTGTTGGAGAAGAGCCAGGTGCCCAGTGTCATGTGGCAGAGACGTGGCTGCCACGACTGCACAGGCCGGGTCGCCGTGGCGTGCGGTCTTAGGGGGTGGCGCACATCAGCACGAAGCTTTGGTCAGAAGAGACTTTCCAGGCTCCCGGGGTCATCCTGCTCCTGCCGCGGCGCCCCTCCATCCAGGTCAGCACCGCAGGCCTCAGAGTTTGTGTGCACCCCCTTCTTTACCTGACGTGAGTTCCGGAGTCCAGTGTGATGCTGGGTAGAATTGAGGACTGTTGCAGGACCTGTCATGGGAGGGGTGTGGACTGGAGAGGGGGCAGCCCCTGTCCCACACCCGTCTCTTGGATGGGACGTGCGAGTTGGTGTGGACTTGGCTCCCTGGTCACAAAGGCCTCTGTGTGAGCCTGTAAACACCACTGGAGGGGCCGCGTTGGGGCTGCTGGGAGCCCAGCCCCAATGTCCTCAGATAGTTGGACGCTCTGACCTGAAGCTCAGAGCCCACCTTCGACTGCCCATGACCATGTTGTCCTAAACTGGCCACCACTGTTGTCACTGTGGCTGGGAGCCCCTGTGGGCGTGGGCGGAGCGTGGGGCCCAGGGGGCTGGGAGGGCCGGGGCTCTGAGGGTGCGGGGGGGGGGGAGGCTCTGGCCTTCGACCCTGCAGCCAGCAGGACCTCACCAGGAGCTGTGACCCGCCCTGCCCTCTGACCCCCCGGGCTCGGCCGCCGTCCGTCTGTGGAGGTGACCGTCTGCCACGGAGCATGGAGCCCTCAGTGCTGATTGACTGCTGCAGGCCTGTGCAGACAGCGTCCCAGTGTTTGGAGAATAAGGAGTCCGCCTTTGTTATGCGTTTGCTGCTATTTTCAGCTTCCGACTCCCTTAAAAAATAACGAGTGCCCTAAATAGCTTTAGAGATTTCACATCAGAGTTGCTTTAGATCCAGAGCCCCCCCCCCCCCCCCCCCCCCC